TAATAATAATAATAATAAAACACTCATTCATTTATTCCAACCAGTTTTCGTCTTTTCAAATGGAACATTAAACCTCTGAGCAGGTGCAGGGCTTTGACCACACCCTGTTTCAGCTGCAGTTACAGAGTCCAACCAGCAGGGGGTGTTGGACTTTCATAACCACTGATTCCTGACATCAACATTTCTCTCTGCAGTTGTTATCGCTTCTTGAGAGGAAAGGAGTCGATTCAGAGGGGATCCTGCGGGTTCCTGGATCTCAAGCCAGAATAAAGGTACAACAACAGAAAAAACACTTTATTTAAGTAAATCTGCCCTTTTTACCCCCTCATGTGTAACGCAGCAATCTGTTCAGCAACCTATTTATTGATCATTTTTGACTCTTATGTTGCCAAAAAACACTCAAACAGAAAAATCTATTTGCTTCACTTAGTTTGATTAAAGCTGACATTTAAAATGAAATAAAATCAATAAGCAGTTTTTACAGCAGCTGCCAGACTGCCCTCATCATACTGTATTTAATTTCATGGTTTTAACAAAGTAAAACCTGAGTGACCACCAGAGGGCATCAGTTTAAACTAAAAGGTATAAAATCCTTTTAATAATTCTTATAACTGATTGTGACAATGATCAGTCAGCTTTGTCTTAGCTCCTTTTTTGTTTTAGTTGTGACAGCTTTGATTAGCTTATAGATTACTATTTAATAGTTTCCGTTCTGATTGATCTTTAACATTTAGAAAGTTGCAGAAGGACATGAATGAAATATATTTTGAGAACTGAAAGGAAACATTTAAAACATAATTATTCTACAATTGCCTTTTTGTTTTGTTTTTCCTCATCTTAGAAACCCAGTTTACCCTGTCAGTTTACATTCTGCCTTATTTTTCTTGGACCCATGCCTGTTTGAGTTCTCAGGAAACTAATTTTACCTGTAAACATGTTTGTGTTAAAGTGTTAGAAACAGCTTTTTATTTATCTAATGTCATAAGATGTGAATGTCTTTTACTTTGTAAATCAAGGCATTTTTATCTTTGATTGATCTTAAAGAGAAACGGCCTCTGTGTGATTTTGTCAAGTAAATTGTGTAATGATGTCATTTAAAAGGGGGAAATGTTGGCACCTTGCCCTGAAACGTTGTATCATGTCTGCAGCTGCTCCAACAGAACCTGGAGGCCAACTTCTACTCAGGACGCTTCAACTGGGATGAAGTGAGTCCCAACGACGCTGCTGCGCTGCTCAAAAAGTTCATCCGAGACCTGCCTGATCCTCTGCTCACCGCAGAGTACCTCAACACCTTCAGCGCTGTGAGAGGTCAGTGGACGCTGCTCTTCTGATAACGTTTCAGATGTTGCTGTTTGGCCAAATATTCTTACACAACAATCCAGTGCCCAAATTACAAAACCTAATTACTGAAGTTGTTTTACCATGATGGCAGTTCTTTGTGGAGTAGAAATCTGTAACGAGATGAAACAGTAAATGACTCGTTCTTACATCCCAACACTTCCACAGACACACAGTGACCCAGCAGAGGAGGAGATAGCTGTTTTTACATTGGATCCACTTTAATAAAGGTTGATATTAATATCAAATGACGGATGACTTGCTGATGTATAGTTTGGGAGGTGGATCAGTGCAGTGACAAATGACATGTGACTACAGAGACATAAACTAACAAACCTAATGAGCAGCGGTCACAGTGCCATCAATCATCAGACGTCCCATTACTCCAAGTCAGACGCAGAGGAAATGAACACTGAATCTATGTGTGTACGTATGTGTGTTCAGCTTTTCTTACCTTGTTTTTGTTTCTCGCAGACATCACAGAGCTGAGACAAAAACTTCACGTGCTGAACCTGCTGGTCCTGCTGCTGCCTGAGCCCAACAGAAACACGCTGAAGGTAAACACAACACAACACCCAAAACTCTACAACTACAAAACGTTCTTTTAAACCAGAAAAACTGAGGTTTTATAAGTTTTAATATGCTAGATTTTAGGAAAATTCAATAAACATAAAACATTGAAAGTATTTTTATTTAATTGTATATTTTTGTGTGATTTTAGTGGACTAAAGCAGATTTTTCTTTCTTTCCTTTTTATATGTTTTTACTCCTACTTCACTCACTTAAGAAAACATGAAATTAATATCTATTCAACCAAGATAATATATTTTTAGTTTTTGTTGTAAATGGATTATAATTTAGTTTATTTTATATGCAGACATAAACTATGTAAACGTGAACTTTTTGCTGTAAAACAAGCTGTTTGATGTTTGGCACCGGGCTTTAGAAACTCTAGAAATTTGTCCTCCTTGACCAAAGCACCAATTTAAAATATAAAAAACTACTGTACAGTTTGAGTCATAATCACCATTTTAAGCTCCGTTTTCTGCTTATATAATCAGTAGAGTTAAGCGTGACTTGCTTTTATCAACACCAGTGTTCAGTCAGCTCCACTCACAGTAACTTGGAGGCTGAAAGCCACCTGAATTAATTACTTTGCAGCTGAAACTCACCATGTTTGAACATATCAACAGAGCTGCTATGGATGAGTCATTCTCCCTAATTCACTTCACAGTTTTCTGTGTTTCATACACCCAGACACGTTTTTGTTTTACTTTTAAAAAAACACGTTCACTTGAAGGTGATCTGCAGTCGGTTTATATATTTTCATCTATTTTTCTTTCAGGCTCTGCTCGAGTTCCTCAGTAAGGTGGTTTCCAGGGAAAAGAGGAACAGGATGAACCTGTGGGCCGTTTCCACCATCATGGCTCCAAACCTTTTTCTCCATAAGGCCGTCCCGAGCCGACTGACGGACGGGACGGAGAAAGGACAGGCGGAGAAGGCAGCCGACGTGATGAGGCTTCTCATTCGTTACCAGGACCTACTCTGGACAGTAAGGACACTCTGACTATACTGTATCTAGTATGTAAGTTAATTCTACAAAATGTTTTAACAACAATGAGGTGTTTTGTCTGTTTGGATGTGCTAAACTTTTATTATCTTTAGAACTATACTGCTAACTGAACTGGGATAAATATAATACACACGTGATCAAATATGAAAAATAAGTATTATGACTATCCAATGTATCCAATTCCTACAATGTAGGAGTTGCACACACATTGATCATTAGCAATAGAAAACCTTTGACCATAATAAGTCACAGGTTGCCTTCTAGAAGGATCCCAAATCATCAGTCAGTATGATTACATGAGCTATAATCCTGTAAATATTCCCTTTGAATGACATGTTGATTTTTAGGGGAGAAATCTGTGAAACTCAAAAAATAAACTAATTAATTAATTAATTAATTAGTTTATTTTTTAATTAATTAATTAGTTTATTTTTTAATTAATTAATTAATTAATTAAAAAGAACGTACGGGTAATATATTCTTTATAAAGGACATTATGTGCCATAATTTTTCAAATATATCAGAATACCTCAATTCAAAACACTGATATTACATAATGCGTGCTTATTGACAGTTGACTGGATGATTTATTTTTTGTATAAAGGCAAAACTGGAGGTTAAAACACAAGTTTCATGCCATGAATGCATTTACAGTAGTAGATGTATTTTTTGTTGGTTGTTTCCAAACAAATTCTGCACATGTAAAATACAGCTAATGTAACCAGAGAGCTGAATATCTTTATATTGAACGGGTTTTATTGAGCGACACATCGCTTATATTTTTGGTTTTAAATTTCATTCAGTTGGTGTTATAAAGGTCTTAAAAAGTCTTAAATCTGACTTGCTAAAACCTGCAGATACCCTGAGAGAGAAGGTTGTTTTCTTTTCCATTGCTCTCTGAAGAAATGTAGAGAATGTTGCCCTAACATTTTTTTGGCACCGCTCTTAGTGTTTACCGGCATGTCTCTCCAGATTCCTAATTTCCTTGTGAGTCAGGTGCGCAAGCTGAACGAGAACAGCAATCGCCGTTACCAATTCTACGATCGCCGCTTCAAGAATCTGCTGAAGAAAATCCAGCCAGAAAGCAGAGAGAAGCCTGAGAAAAACAAGTCAGAGGTGAGCTGGTTTCGCATGTCTAGCCTCCGTTAAACACAGTGCATCAAAGTCTTTTTTAAAAAACATGATTTAAACAAGCTGCTCTGTTCCTGTACATCTGAAGTTATTTACATCATCTCATCTATTTGTATGTCCTGCAGCTTCTTCGCACAGTGAAGATCCAGGTTGGAGATCAGGTGAAAGACTCGATGGAGTATCAGCTCAGCATCAACACCCGAACCTCCGACCTGCTCGAATATTTTCAGCGGCAGTTCTTCCGCAGCCCCGCCAATGGAAAGGGAAAAATACGAAGGTACAAAACTCCTGTTTTAACACTGAACAAGTCGAGTAAACAAGAACTCTAGAATGTTTGTTTTAAAGTCGCGCCCACCTCCTGCTGAGCGTGTGTAGACACGTTTTTTTTTTTTTAATTTCAAGCAAAGAACTAAGACAAGCTCTCATCTGTCCACAGAAACGGCTCTGTCTCACATCCGGACTGCGCTCTTTATGAAGTGGGAGGAAATATAGGTGAGTTTTTTTCTGTAGTCGGTGCAGCTCTGATGTGTGCCTGTCTGCTCACTGCGCTGACGAGGGAGGGAAGGTGAAACATTAAGAGAGGGCGGGGGGGCATACATCTGCAGTTATCAGAGCAGATGAATGCTTATTACAAACATGTCTGTGCACTCACACGAGCGCTGGCCGAGGGAACACAGCAGAAAGTTTTCCACTCGCTTCACTGCGTTATGATAAACATTTCTACAGTTTTGTTTGAAGTCCAAACATAAGAAACGAGTGTTTTCATGTGTTTTGCTTTTGGACTTTTAATTAGCAGGGCGATTCAAATCAAAGTAAAGTGATTTAAATGAATATGGATGTGTGTTCCTGCAGGGGAGCACTGTCTGGACGTCGACACACACCTGCTGGACCTGTACAACAGTAACCCCGGAGGAGAATGGGTCATCAAGCTGAAATCCAACGGCAGCAGGGGAGTGTGACCTGAAGCCTGTGGGACAAAACACGAGCAGGTTTCAGAAGGGTCATAAAGACATATCCTTAAGACCCCTTCATGTCCAGATCATCCTGTGAGCAACAAGCAGGAGGAGGACTGCACAGATGGATGGAACAAACGCATCAGTGGAGGATCTGCCTGGAGCAAAGCCTAGAAACTGAGATCCCTTCAAAACCAACTGTGCTTCATCTTCTGTCCTCCACTTTTTTCTTTAGTCCATTTTCATTTACTTTTTTTTTTCCCATCATCTGTCTGCTGCGTTACTGGAGGGCTGCAACGCTGCGAGCGAAAAGCTGCTTATGTGACCCATTACTTCCAGCAGAGAACCTGCTGCACAGAAACAAGAGAGGAGACGGTGAGCATCTCCACGGTTTGTCTCCGGCTTTTCTCTGGAGCAATCATCTCCGACCACAAGCGAACAGATGGGGATGCAGAGCACCTCTGGCTATCCTGAGCCCCCACCCCCCACCACACACCTTCTGCTACAAATATGCAGTTTTTTTCCTGTTGTGGATTAAACCCAAGGAGAAAAAAACACGATATAAGGGTTTTCTTTACATATTCTGGGCAAAATTGATATAATCTGTTAAATGTGTAAGATAAATCATTCAGGAGCTGCTGATCTACCATAAATTATGTTATTCTATTCCAGTTTCAAAACCAAGACTTAAAGCTTTTTAAATCATTCTTAGAAAATGACTGAAATTACAGTGAAGGACTTAATGACACTTTGTGTTTTATCCAACAGTATTATGTTAATTTCCTCAAGGTTTTTTTTTTTTTTTTGTGTCCTGTTTTTGTGTAGAAAGTTATTTAAAACTTGGAATCTTGGTCTTTAATGAGAAACAGAAAACTTTTGATGTTACTTTTTTTTTAGTTGTTTTTGTTTCAACTAATTCAACCACCAGAAAAAAAAAACCCAGTTCAGATGGAGGAGCAGAAACTAAATGGGTAAATGCACTTTTTCACCTCTTCTTCTGTGGTGAATCTTCTCTGCAGCTTTGAGGCCAACAAACCAGGAAGGGTCTCTGATGAACTGATTTGTTTTATTTTACAATCTGTAAAATTAAAACATCCGGACTTCCAAGAACCCAACATGGATCAGTGATGACAAAGCCTGACATGACTTCATTTTGTTTTAAGTTTTGCAACCAAGAACTTTGGTACTTGTACCTCCTATAAAAGGAGGAATTAGGGACACAGTGAAGCTGGTCTTCATTTTTTTTTTATTTTGAAACATTAAATGAAGCCAAAAGTGCTGAAGTGACTCATGGGGCAACCTGGGATTATTACTATTATTATTATTATTATTATGGTTATTTATATGAATGTAAAACCGATGTTGCTTTTCTTGTCAGTGAGTGTTGTGTAGGATATAGGATAACGTGTTCCTGCACACTGTGTGGGGAATCTGCAGTGTTTGCGTTCAGATGTCTTTACGTCTGTTAGTTTGATGTTGTTCCTGTGTAAATGCTGTTCAGTCACACTCTGCCACCAGGAGAAACCCACTGCAGGACTGCTGTCGTGTTGAAGCGGCTCCAAACACGAGCAGCAAACGAACATATTTAACACGTTTCTGCGCCGGTTGTCGACTTTGCTCCTCGCGGTCGCGGCCATGTTGTTTGCTCCGCGGCCATTTTGTTGGACGTGTCTCGCACACTCTGCTCGATAGACGACATAATGACGGGGTGGGGGCACCCTGCACCAGCATCCATCAACACCCCCTGCTCCATCTCTGTCACCTCTCCATAATGAGCTATAATGGCAGCGTCTGAAACACGGGGAGGAATCACATTTCTCCGATAAAGCAGAAGGCAATAAGCAGCTGTTGTAAATTCTGCGGCCTCGGACTGAACGACAGCGGTGTGTGATTGTGTGTGTGTGTGCGACCAGCTTCGTTGCTCATGTCCGATTGGCCCGTCCCAGGGTCCCGGGCACAGTTCAGTGCTTCGGCACAAAGCAAGCCGACGAGAACGCCTTCTGCTGACAAGTCAGGAGAACTAGGTCACCTCTGGAGCAGCTTCCCAGAGGGCGAGCAGCGGGAGTCCAAACACCCCAAGGAGCAGAGTCTTTGGAGACACAGTGTCACCCCTTCACAGTACAGTAGTTCCTCAACGACTTTGTGTTTTTGTACATGTGTTCATGTGTATTAGAAAGAGGCTCTGAAACAGTGTTATTTGTATAAATATCAAAGGACCTTCATAAAACAACATTGAACTCTAATGGGAACATTTGTTTCCAGCTGTGATTAAAGCGTGCACCTCCCAACAGTCCAGTTTGGAGGTGTCCTCCAGCAGACGTCAGAATGTATATTTATGCTCTTTGCATCGTTTTTAACACATCTGTGAAAAATCCCTTCTCTGTAGAATGAAAATTTTTTTTGAAAAATGCTCCCTTTTGGCAATAAATGTGACTTTAATGTGAAAATGTGATTTATTTTTTCATTATGAACGAACTGCTCTGTCTGCAAGATGGTATCAACGCGAGCATCATTCATCAGCAGCGCAGGGGCATCTGCTCCGTCTGAACGTTCAGGAAACGGGAGACTGGATCGTGAAGGGACCGGTTTATTCTGCCGCAATAATCAATAGAAAGATTACGCCTCTAATGTGTTCAGGCAGAGAGGCTCGGGCCACTGATTAATCAACACCGCTCCTCGAAAAGAGAAAAAAAAACATTTGCTGCTAACTGTTTCATCTGCTTTGATTATTCAAGGTCTGCTATTGTCCAGCAAACAGCAGGAAGACCAGAATAACTACATGGATATATTGTTTACCATCTATTATTGCCTGACGCCATGACAGGTAGGCAAGCGTTTAATTTGTGTGTTAGCAAAATATCTCATGAACCACTTGATGGATTTTAATGAATTTCTAAGGGGTGTCAAACTCATTTTCACCGTTATGGTGGCCCTCAAAGGACCAGTTGTGATGAACTGTGGTGTTTCATGTTTAACTTCAACAAAGCAGTGTTTTAACACATCCAAGTGTACGACTGATTAAATCTGAAATAGTGCAGAATTTAAAAAAGTGACAGAGTTTTACTCACTGATGACTTGTAGTGAGTAGCTGCCATCTTGAGCTCTGAACTCTCCCACTTTCTGACAGAGTTCCCGTGGCTGATCGACATGCATTATAAGAGAGGTCGTTTATGGTTTAGTCTGGCTTTAAAGCAGCTTATTTTAAGATATTCTGCTCCACGTGGGTGTTTCTCACATGTGAAGGGTCAAATGGACAGCACAAATTTCCTCATTGCATGGGATCATGCACTGATAACAAAGTACCTTTACCTTTAAATTTCTCAGTTACTTAAAGCCAACAGCTCTGGGGGCAGGACAAATATTATGCTTTACATTTGATTATTTTGTTCCATTTAATTGTAAATTTAAGTTTGCCATTGATTTGAGAAAAAATGTTCATATTAAGTTAAAAAGAAAACTTATTTTTTTTTGGGGGGGGGGGGCATGGCGAGCCAGACGGGAGTCACGTGTTGGCCACATGTGGCCCACGAGCCTTGACTTTGACACGTGCTCTAAAATGATCATTGGCTCTACAAGTTAATTTTGAGCTAGTCCGATTCAAAATGGCCACCGCAGTTGATTGACTTTAGCAAACGTATAAAGGTACGCTTCAGTTAATTTTACAGATATCGAGCTAAAATGTGGCGTGGCAGAGGCTCATTCGGAACACATAATCTGAGAATTAGCGTGTCAAAAATTTTGTTTAAAAGTTTGACTTGAAGTGAGGAATGCTTTTTTTTCCTGCAGACTTATGTAGGAAATAATTTTAGAGGTCATTTATTATAGTTCATCTTTAAACCTATTTTCAGACATTCTACATCCTGTCTTCATTTATGCTGTGTTCTTTCAGCCTTATTGAAAGAAAATCAAATTGTACCCACCCACACACACACACACACACACACACACACACACACACACACACACACACACACACACACAC